ATATATATATATATATATATATTATGTACAATAATATTCAAAAATAGGTGCATTGGGGGCATCATCCATTGAGACCAGAATTTTTAGAATCAACCTATTTTTTGTATCGAGCCACGGGTGACCATTATTATCTGGGAGTCGGACGTAAAGTACTCAAAAGTCTGCAAACATATGCAAGAGTGCCGTGCGGTTATGCAGCTGTATCAGATGTTAGAACTAACAAACACGATGACACAATGGATAGCTTTGTATTATCCGAAACATTTAAATACTTATTTTTATTATTTGCGGAACCAGGCGAATTGGTTTTAGATTTAGACGAATTTATTTTTACTACTGAAGGTCATTTATTGCCACTTACACTCGCTTCTATAAGGACAAATATTTCATCTGTAAGTATATTATAATATGCAGTAATTTCATCAATAATAATCATTGTGAATTATATATTTTTAATTAATACAGGATTTTGAGCGTGATATTGTACATGTGGATGAATTTGATCGTACTTGCCCAAATAGTTTACATTTGTTTCCGGCATCAGTGAGGCAACCTTTAAGGAATATGGTTGAAGACGTCTGTCCGAGACGATCGATTAAACGAAGATTAAGTGCATCACAATTTCAGGTATAGTCAAACCATATTCATATGTTTTGATTAAAGTCTATTTAAATTTTCATTTTGTTCTATAGGCGAATAATTTAGAACATCTGAAAATGTTGAGTGATATGGGAATAACAACTTTAACACTAGCAGATGGACGGATTCAACTTTTGCACACATTTTCTAATGTAATTTATTTGTTATATTGTAACTTAATTTAATATCTTATTGTTACCTATCATATATGATAAATGATAATATTGATGATTATTTATTCAAATAGGCAAAAACACCACAAGATTCAGAGGAAGGATTATTGTTTATGCAGGAAATGGTTGAACTCACCAAAATCCAAATGCAACAACCAGAAACTAAACCACAAACAGTAACATTTATCAAACCTAATACGGATCCACCAGAAAAAGTAACATTGCTGGCTGGGCCAGCACAATTCGGACCTGAACTACAGAATTTCGATAAGATTACTGGAAAAGTGATATTTACATATCCACCCGCAGCTTGCACAGATTTACTAAATGCAGATAGATTGGCGGGCAAGATAGTAATTATGGATCGTGGAAATTGCATGTTCATAGAAAAAGTATGTCTGCAAAATATTTTTTTCAAACTAGTCTTTTTCAAACTTCCATACTTTAGCTTTATATGTCACTTTAGGCTCGGAGAATTCAACAAGCTGGCGCTCTTGCTGGAATAGTATTAGATAATGTCGCAGGTTCGAGTGCAGCAACTTCGCCCATGTTTGCAATGTCAGGCGATGGAAAAGAAATTGATGACGTCACAATACCTGTCGTATTCCTCTTTTTCACAGAGGCAGCCGAACTAATGAAAGCTAT